ATAAACAGAGAGCGTTATTCCAGGCAACATTTTTTGACGAACACCAAAGACGAACTGATCCATATACATAATTATGACATCACAGTTTCTTTTTACAAACACTACCGCCATCTTGGCAATCTAAGGATACATAGTCATAAACTTAACACTAGGAAAGAATAGTTTAGTGTAGAAAGTTTAGTGATGATAGCTATAGTAGTGGTTGAGTGTATCGCGAACAAACAAACATACAGACATTCTTCTTTATATAGAGAGATAATAAGCTTATAGAATTGCGTTTTTTACAGTGAACATTACCTAGTATTTATTAAGCTGTTTTTTAAGTATTAACTTAAGGGTACGAAAATGTTGCTGTTTTCCAAACAAAGATCTTATTTTCATTTCAATGAATGGCTAGTGGATAATGCGTAGATTAACTAGGTAATCTGCATATTAACTAGGTGGTATGAGAAATGAAGCAATTCTCCGCGTTTTAACGGATTGGTCTAGTTAATCTGCACATAATCTGATTTCCATAATTATATACATTGTGCCATTCATAAATAATTTGAAGTAAGACAAATGAAGTGATAGAACATATTTTGATTGTCGGAACACATATATGAATATCGCAAATAATGCCCCCCCTCGCGCTGAATGCAACGTTCCTATTTCCATGGGAAGTTTCCGAATGGCAGCGTCGACCGTTTGTTTGGTAGTATGTTGTAAATCCAGTCGTAGACAGCCTGTTGTAGTTCCTTGTTAAGGGCATATTGTCCATCGCTCAGGTTCTCCTACAATTTTTCGAAAAGTGTATTGCTCGATGCAACAGTTTTTTGCACATTATCATACATTGTTACTTCAGAACCTGTGGTACACCAAGAGCAAATTTTGTGCATATTCAAAATCTCCATGCTTTATCATGTGTAGAGTTATTCTGCAAATATCCGTTTCACGTTGTTCCTCATCGAAATTACTGCTGTGATAAATCAGTAACAAGTTAAACACCTGTTATAGAGACTGGTGTAATCCTTATTATTGATATATCACTACACATTCCTTTTATTAGACTTTCATTTCCCACGTTAAAGTTCTTAATCGGTTAAATACAGAGCTTCGCTCAGCTTTCTCACCACACACAGCCATTAATTTCTTGTAAACTTGTGCTCCTAACTGTCCTTCTTTCCCCCTCCTCCCCCCAAAACCACACAATTCACTTTTAATCATGTGCACTATCTCTGCTGCACCACATAAAAAATGTACATCGCCCTGATGTTCAACTGTTTGTTACATTGGAACACAGATAATTAATTAACTTACTAATATAATAGATCATTCTAGATATTAGTAAGTTAGCGGGAGATGATTGGATATTGAATGTATATGCATTTTCAGTGTAAATACTGTTATCAATGTTTCGAACTTTGTTTATTCGCAAAATAGCAAAACGCAGTGTATAAGCTTGTAATGATCGTCTCCTGAGGTGGGATGTGCATGCCCCTTACTTAAAATATAGAGTGTAAATGTTTGACAAAGTTATATCTAACATATAAGAAAGATAATGATTATGTCAGTAGTGCCCAACCTTTAACATGACATGAGGCATGGCGATTCACAATCATATATTGCACTTTTAATATTTCAGTTATAAACGTAATTATAAACGTCATTCCATGCTGCTTCAAGTGTATCCTACACTTTATCAACCGTATTAGCTGCAGAGGAGTGGCGGGCCAGTCTTTCAGCAGCCCATGATCAGATGTTTTCAATGGTGGACAGATCGAGAGACCGTGCAGGCCAGGGCAGAAGTTGAATACCCTGTGTATCGAGGAAGGTTAAAACACGATGTGCAACATGTGGTCTTCATTATCTTGTTGGAAGATGGCGTTTGCCAGGCCTCAAAGGTAGGGCACAACCACTGGACGAAAGATGTTATAAATGTACTGATTCTATATTTCAGTTATGATTAATGAAAATAATAGATATAGTTACATATATAACAGTTTGGAGGTTTACAGGAGTGTGAAGTTAGTAGAAACAGCTGATACCCCTGGCAGCTAAATTGGCCCTTACCCGGTTAGGCATGGAGTCGAACTGAGCTTCGATGACAGAAACGGGCCACTCATTCATGTCTATGCCACACTTCATCAACTGTGTTAGAAGGGTGATGGCCAGTCTCTCAACAACCTATAATCAGATACTTTCAATGGGTGACAGATCTGGACATCGTGCAGGCCAGGGCAGCAATCAAATAATCTGTGTATTGAGGAAGGCCAGAAAACGACATGCAACATGTGGTCTTGCATTACCTTTTTGGAAGATGGCATTTGGCAGGCCTCGAAGGTAGGGCACAACCACTGGACGAAAGATGTTAGAAATGTACCAATCTGCGTTCAAATTACCGTCGATCCGAGCTAGAGATGTGCGTGTCGTGTACCCAATAGTTGCCCAAACTATTACACTAGGTATAGGGCCCCTATGCCGATATCGAATATAAGCAGGCAAGACGAGTCTCCAGACACGTATACGGACAGATCAGACGATCCTCAGAGTCTTCAGACACGTATACGGAATGTACACGTACATCGTACGTCAGAAGACTGCATGAGAACCGGGACTCGTCTGAAAAGGCCACAATGTGCCACTCCTGTATCCAGCTTTGTTGTTCAGCTCACCAGAGCCTCCCTCTCTTCCTATGCTGGATTGTCAAGGGAAGACGATTAATAGTAACGGTGCTGTTAGTCCACGCTGTTGCAAACTTTGACGTACCGTAAAAGCGGTTATTGGGCGTGATACAAACATACTCATTTCTTGACTAATGAATGGTATGTCATATGGTTGTAGGTTCTGCAGGCCTGACTTCACAATATGTCTGTCATCTCGGGCTTTAATCATGGGAAGGCGCTAAAATCGTGCATGCCGTTCTGTATGACCCTCATTGATTCCATATTCGCAAGACAGTGGTTGGATATCGACCAATGCAATGGGCGATATCACGGAACGGTAATCCACACTCTCGATATTCAACAATCCTACCTCTATCGAATTCCCACACTTGCTGATAAGCATTTCTTCTGATTCGAGGCAAAACATGATATTCTCTAAGCAAACTCAGACCTTACAAAGCCTACTAATGAGAAATCCACTACATAACTTTTTCTTTATGCAGCGCTGAAGATGTCGTTTCTCCTTCCTGCATTGTCTAAATGTGCTGAAATACTAATCATTTGCATATCCCAACCTCTTCTTCCTTTAAAGTGATTTTGATGTTCTTCATACTATTCCTTCTTGGTGTTGCAATTTTAATGGCCAGCAGTATAGTTTAAAAACTGATTTCGAAAATGTGGCTTTAATGCAAAAGAAATCACGGAGGAATTGCAAAATGTGGTTAATATTTCAGACATCAATCGAATTATGAAGATCAGTTTTTGGAATCTGTGTCAATTTAGAATAATATTGAGATAATGAGTGTACAAGCTGATTATGATATTTTTTAAAGAACTGCAGGAACTGACAGCGAAAGTTACACAAATTAAGCAAGTCCTTGTGTTGGACGACTTCTTTTGACTCCCATCCGTTCCGAGGGAATGCCCTAAATAAAAGCGCGCCGTCTCGAAAAGCGTTGAAATATTCACTTTTTTCTTAGCTCCCTCCAGGAGCGTAGCTAGAGTTTCCAGCGCCAGAGGGACAACTGAAGAATTCGTGCCCCTTTTTGTGTGCCAAGAATGGAAAACAATTCCGTAGCATCAATTTGGCGTCCCTTGGAAGCTGCCCCCGGGGACAGATGTCCTCCCATGCCCCACGCTAGCTACGCCACTGGCTCCCTCCATGGGATTCATTCAGGAACATCATCACCAGACTCATTGCGGACTAATTTCAGTTTTACAGGGAAGTACTGCAAAAGCAGTAGAACCCCTGTGTAATTACTTGTGTACCAAAAGCGTTAAATTAAAAAATTTTTGCCACCTAGTGCAGCTACATTGGCTGCACATATTCTGGCACCGACCGTGCACATCCATCTCAATCACATTATGTTTTGGCCACGCGGGACTTGACGTCGAAAGGGACAATTCTCAAAACCCGCACAATTCCGGGAAACCCGCATAGCTAGGTTACCATTTTCACTTACTACATAGACTTGAACGCCAAACACTAATCTATTAACCCTCAGACTGAGATTACGTGAGGCTTCAGAAGCAGAACTTTCGTCTGATTGGTTGTCTCTACTTGGGACTGAGGTCCAGCCGAGATATTTTCGGTGAGATTTGAAAAAATTCTGCGTAGCCGCAACATTGTTTCTGTAGCTAGGCGGGACTTCCCTTCAGGCGGGGATCTTTTTTCGAGGAATTCTCTCGTTTAAACCAGTGCTATCAGAATTCTCGTTTCTCAGAAAAGTCCCATCTAGCAGGGACTGTAGCCATGTGTGATAACTTCTTTAGTGCTGAGCCATCCATGATGGTTACATGAGGTACTGATTTCTATATTATATGTTACACAAGCCGAACTTGAGGAATATTAGTGGTTATGAGGTACTGAGGAATACTGAGGCAATCATTTGTACTTGTCTTATATGTTAGTATACAATAAATACATGGCTTTTATAACTACTGTTTTCCGCAATGCAATTCCATATGCCTATTAGTAGCTAATAATGTTTTTCATGTATGATTAGACAAAATACTTAGTATGACACTAATGCAATGCAAAGAAACATTAACTGATGTAATAAAAAGTTTTTAAAATGTGTTTATTGCTTTACAGCAATCTGGAGAGTCAATCAAATGTTCGCAGCACAAAGTTCGAATATCAGAATTTACCATACAGGAGCTCTTTAGCGATAATTTTATGATAATTCGTCTGCATCGTAGTGGACCCAGAATCAAATTATTTAGCATCTTCATGAAACTCGTTTGCACCAAATATAGCACCAAGCGAGCATACACATTGTGATCATTACAACTTACTTTGTATTTTCAAAGTAATACTTTTAATATATTAATAGTGTTTGTTTTCTTTTATAGTTCTTCCTAATATTAAATGGGAAGGAGTATGCCCACAGAAAACTTCAAAATGCCCTGTAAGGTAATTTACATATTATGTGATACTTTATTTTCTAACTTGTGCCTAATTTTAAAATTGTGAAAAAAGGAAACCAAAACGTGCTTTAATACTTTTTATACATAAATTAATGAGCCCACCAGCGGCCGAGCGGTAAAGTCGCTGAACACTGGTAGTTCAGTCCGAGGTTCGAATCCCACGAACGGGCTGGCTGCATGGGCGTTTTCATGGGTTTCCCCATGTGTAACGTGTATACGAGCCAGTTTCCCTTAGAAAGTCCTCCACGAAGGCATCCCTCCTCTTAGGCAGATAGCCCTCGAGGTTTTGCCATACTCACAAACACACACAAACACACATAAATTAATGAAAATGTGTGGCATTTCCTTATTTAATGTGTGGCTGTTCGTTATTTAAATGGTGGGAATTATTGATAACTTAGTCGCTAACAGTTGCCAAATGACCGGCATTCCTAATTATGATTATTTAGATTCCGACCGTCAGGAAAAAAATCTGAGTGGGCCATTCTAGCGTATTTTCCGCACTTTTTTTTTTTTTTTTCTGTAATAGATATTAACAATTTATCAAGGCGTGAGAGGATATTAAGGCCTGCTGGCCATTTGGCGATCATTTGTAGTACGCGTTGGCGATTTATCGATAATCTTGGCGCCGTTTGAATGAGGGGGCTACATTAATAACGAAGCATAAAAAAATGTGCTTTGTTTTATTTAATAAAGTCTGATCACTTTCACAGAGCAATGTATTTTGTATGTAATATGAGTTGTTACCTAAGCAAATTTTACTACATTCAGTTTGTACATACTAATTAAGAATTTTTTTAAATTTTATTGTTTATTCATTCTTTTTGCATTAATTTCTTCATTATTTTTTAATTTCTTGCATTTTCCTAATACTGTTTAGTGCAAATTTAAAATTTTGCTCTTGTCTTATTTAGTTAACCATTTCTTACTTGCTTGTTTTTTAAATATTATATTATAGTTTTCGTGGAATACCTCCATTGCTGGTGATTTCTCTTGATGGATTTCATCCGGATTACCTAAAGAGAGGTTTCACACCCACACTAAAAAATATCGCTCAGTGCGGTGTGAAGGCAGATTTTATGTATCCCGTTTTTCCATCTAAAACATTTCCAAACCATTACAGCCAAGTTACGGTAATCAATATTATATTTTACATTATATTTAATAACATTTATATATTCTTAATGTTTTACTGAATCTTCATTCACAAGTTAAGCAATTCAATACTTCTGAATATTTCATGAATCAAAGATTGGAATGGAGGAAAACTTGTTTTGTCAGAAGTGTCTATCTTAACATATTGAATTTGGATGAAATTGCTTGGACTGGAGAAACAGCTGTCTAATAAAACCTTCACTGCAGAATAAGAAATGAAGAAAACTATAAAACCTGCATTACAATGATTTTTTAAAATATATTTGAAAACACAGGAAATGGTTACACAAAATGAAATGACAAATGATGATATTTATGAATAACTGCTCTACCCATTTTTAAAGATTCCTGATTTCAGAGCAGTGAGAATCACTTATTCTCGTTCAATTGCATTTCATTATTTCAGTTGTTGGATCAAGATTCACTCGATTTACTGACCAATAAAGGACAGTAAAAGAATAAAGTTTTTCGAGTTCTTTAATGATGGATACTTCTGTGGCATATAAACTATATATTTGTGTGTTTTAAAGTTTCTGTGTTCTTTAGATAATGCAATGGTTTTAGAATTCTTCATAAAAATTTAGCTGCAGACATTCCCAATTACTTCATTCAGGGTTTGAAAAACGTGATGAAAAAATATCAGATGAAATTACTGAAATAGTATCAGATGACTTAATTTTACTTAAGAATATGTTGGAAGCAGCAGCTCTAACTGTAACTTCTTGTGTAGTTTGTTAAACTTAATAACTTCTGTACTTTAAAAGTAGACTCAACTAATGAGTATATCTCAAGAATTCAAAACTTTTATTATTACATATTTAAACAGTTCACATGACATTAAGCTAGCACAGTAACACGTGCATCACAACAACGGAATCTCAGCATGAGTGCCATTAAAGTTATAGTTATTTACAGTTACAGTTATTTTAAATATACATCACATTCCTTCCTTCAGTTTATAAACAGTAATAAAAATAGCAAATAATATCAATACAAGTGTATTCACAATATGACATACAATAAAAAAAAGTTACATAAAAATGATACATGCAATATGTTACATTATTTTATTCCATGACAAAGTCTCTATATCTTGAAGGTTGTCTAATCAACCGTCCACTTCTTGTTATTGTATTATTGGATAGATTATTCTGTTGATTTCCTATATTAACAGGCACAGAAACATTCTCAGGGCTTCCATTTGAATTTTCCTCTTTATCTAATACTATATCATCATAATCATTATTAACTTTGTAAGGTGATTTTGAAAATTTTATATGGCGTCTGTTTCTTCGTAATATTTCCCCATTTGAATTTCTTACAATATAGGATCTAGGAGCTTTATGTTTTGAAATTATTTCACCTTTATCCCATTGCCCAGTTCTAAAGTTGAACAAGGTTATACTATCTCCAGGTTTTAACTCAGGCAGTTTCTGTGCGGTTCTATCATAATAATATTTTTGCCTAGCTTGAAGTGCACGAAATTTAGAATAAGGTTTGTTTATCTTAGTATTTAACAATTTATTACTGATAGGTAATTTTGTCCTTAATCTTCTATTAAGTAACAGTTGTGCAGGAGACAAATTTATTCCACTAATTGGGGTATTTCGATATTCCATTAAGCCTACACTTATATCTTGCACTTTTCTCATGATATTTTTCACTATTCCTACAGCTTTTTCAGCCAACCCATTACTTTGAGGATATCTGGGGCTACTAAATTTAAGTTCGAAATCCCAATCTTCAGCAAATTTCTTAAATAAGTAGCTATTACAGGGATTATTGTCGCAAACGACTTCATTTGCAATACCATACCTGGCAAAAATGCACTTTAACTTTATCATAATTTCATTTGCTGTCTTATCTTTTATGCTAAAAACCTCAATCCATTTAGAGTAATAATCGATAACTACTAAGTAATTTTGATTACCAAATTGCAAGATATCAAGGGCAATTTTTTTCGAATGGTTTAGTTGGAATTTCATGTTGCATTAGAGGTTCTTTTTGATTTCTATTTCTGAATTTTTCACATATTTCACATTTGGAAACAAGCTGCTCAATGTCATTTGTCATACCTGGCCAGTAAAAAATTTCACGGGGGCTCTACTTTTACATTTCTCAATTCCAAAGTGCGCTTCATGAATTAATTGCAACATATCTTTTCTCAAACCATAAGGTACAACTAATTTTTCATTAATAAATAACAAGTCGTCATTAATATAAAGATCATTTTTAACTTTAAAGTATTTTTTTTACACTACTATCTACTTTTTTGTAACATTTAGGCCAACCCTCTTTAATATATTTCATAACTATTTGCAAATCTGGATCTGATTCAGTTTCTTTTCTAAATTGCACCACTCTTCTTTCACTCATAGGCAAATATTTCGAAATAATGTGAACAACATTTAGCATTTCAGGATCATCACTGATAGTTTCATTCACAGGATATGCACGTGACAAAGTGTCAGCAAAAAGCATTTGATTACCTGGAACATAATTTATCTCAAAATCATACTTTAGTAATTTTAAGATCATCCTTTGCATTCTAGACGAGATTTTATGCAATGGTTTCTTAACAATTGCCATTAACGGTTTATGATCACTTTGTACTGTGACTTTCCGTCCATAAACAAAATTGTGGTACTTTTCAAAAGAAAATACTATGGCCAATAGCTCTTTTCGATCTGTGCATATAGTTTTTTTCACTGTTAGTCAGGCTGCGAGACACAAATGATACAGGCTTTACCCTTTTGAATTAGACACGATCCTAGGCCATCCTTCGAACTATCACACACTGTATAATTATATCCTCATTACCACTGAAAACTTTTAAAATTGGAGCTTTGGTTAGCAGTTGTTTGATGTTGTTAAATGACTCTTCCTGAGTTTCTCCCCAATTAAATTCTACCTTTTCTTGAATGATTTCTCTTAAAGGAGCAGTAACTTTAGATACATTAGGTATGAATTTTGACAGAAAATTTAACATTCCTAACAACCTCCTTACTTCAGTTTTTGATTTTGGTGTTTGGCATATCAATAATTGCTTTAATATGACTAGGATCGGCTTTTACTCCTGACTCAAAATAATTTGGCCTACATATTTGACTTCCGGTACCCTATATTGTAATTTATCAGGATTAAATTTTTATATTTAGAGACCTAGCTCTTTCAAGAACCTTAGAGATAATTATATCATGAGTAACCTCATCAGATCCTGCAATTATGATATCATCAAAATAAACTTCCACATCCTCAATATCACCAAATAATTTTTGGTTTCTTTTCTGAAATATTTCTGGGGCGGAGGATATTCCAATTGGCATTTTATTAAATTTATATCTTCCATAAGGAGTATTAAATGTACATAGTTCAGAACTAGCTTCATCTAGTCGTACATGCCAAAATCCATCTTTTAAATCTACAAATGAAAATACTTTTTTACCTTCTAACCTACTAATTATATCATCTGGAGAAGGATTAGATCAAACAAATGTATTTTAAAGCTAATACCATAAATTGCAACTGACATTTTAAATTATATACTATTGCTTGTAACAATATAAGGATGTCATGCATGTCATCTTTGGAAATAATTTGCCGTTAATATCTGTTGTGGAATTTCCACAGTTTTGGAAAGTTTGGTGTGCATGGCTTTTGAAATACAAATATATTCAAAGAAAAATGAAGCACTAGCAAGTAAAGAAGCTCATCAAATATTGTAGATAAAAAATCTGGTATATACACCAGCAAAATTACATTTAAAGCAATTTTCATATTCTTCAATAAAATAAATGTAAATAAATAAATAACACTGCTTACTAAAACTCTGAAGTAAGGTTTTCTCTAAATTCAATTCCAATGCTGATTCAGGCATTACATTCTACACATGTGTAACTGGATTAATAATACTACCAGCAATTAAGAAAAAATGCTTGAAATGATTTCCAATTTTGACACCAGAAAAATCCATAAAAGTGTTGTTTTTGATAATCTCTTCATATTTGTTGCCAACATAAACAAACTTGCTTATTGCAGAGAACGTAATCAAGAATATGAGGTGCATCTAAGTTGGAACTCTACATTTGAAACATCGTGGACAAATAAATTATTTAGAGTTATTAAACATGTAAACTCAAGATCGATTTTAATAAGCAGGATATATATTCCAAAAGGAGGGATTTATCTAAAATTTTAAAATGAAGAATGTTTTCTGAGATTCGTTTTATGTATTTACTATGATATTGGAGCACCGACGTGCACAGAAAATGCTAAATAACTTCAATAATAGTTAAATTTTCTTCTTAAAGTTTTAAGTTGTTTGTTAAAACGTTTATTTGCATATATATAAATTTAAAACATCTAATGTTAAAATTAAATTGGAACCAAAGTAAGGCAATTCCTCAACAATATTAATAATTACAACCACGGATAAGAGGTTTAACACTGTATCTAAACATATCAAAGTTAAAATAAGAATTCATCAGTAGAACAAACTCAAAAAAACAAAAATGTGAAAAGGGAAAAATATACAAAATTACAAAAATTAATCTCCTTTTACTGAAACTTTAATTCAGAACTCATCAGGGGAAAATGAGTTAAAGCATTATAAAAGCCGATTAATATGCTTCGAATACATGTTTCATTTTTCTGGTTCATTTGAAATCAAAAACTGAAAAAAGATACAATTAAATTTTCATTAAAGACATTAAAATTTATTTAAAACCGAAAAATCGAATCTCAGATGTATCCAGAATTTTCCCTACATGCTTTCGAAACACTTGGCAAAAAGAATAAAACTTTACATTATGCAAAGTGGGAGAGAGAGAGAAAAAAAAAAAAAAAAAGTCAAATAACATTATTTATAAATCTGACATTCAAAAGCAATTACTAATTACAGAGCAAAAAGCAAATATATTTTTAATCAAATTATCATTTAAACAACGCTAAAAAATTGGGTGGTGTCTGATTATGCAAT